GATTCATTTTCCAGGTGGACATTGCCCGACTCTAGGGTTAATCCCGTCAAGTACTAAACACAGTACTGGGCTAAGTGGCACTTTGAACAGTGACACCTGTCTCCTGTGACTGACTTCTCTGCTGTCAGTGCCACCAAACGTGGTCATCACCGGGTGGCATTAACACTGCCAGTGATGAGGTCTTAGCTGGAAGCTGTTGAGCTTCACTGTGCGCATTTAATCTCTGTGGCTTTTTTTGGACTTAAAACTCCCATTAAAATCACCTTGGGACAGCTACCTTCAGAATTTCTTCCTTCAGATTCTTGAAGGATGATGCTGGACTCAGCCCAAGCTACAGATGTTTTTCCCTCTCGGGTTAGCTGCCTGCCTGGGGATCGGCCAGCTGTGGCCAGAGCTGGGGTCCAGCAAGTCCACGGGAGCCTCAGAGGGGCCGAGAGCTCTTCCCAGGGTGGGGGCGGGCAGAAGAGCCTTCCTGAGCTCCACCCCACCCTGCCCCGAGCCCAGCACTGCAGGTGGCCCGCCTGCCTTCCTCCTGCGGCTGCTCCTGGCTCGGGGCTCAGGCTCGGGCTCAGGGCCCTTCCCTGGCAGGCTGCACCCGGCCCACTTCTGGAATCCATCTGCCCGGCGGTGCTGGCGGTACATCCAGTGCCCGGCGGCTGCCAGCGGGTGCTTCTGGGAGTCCAAGTGCCCACTGCACTGTGCCCGCCTCTTGCTGCATCTCCCTGCCTGGCTCTTAGAACGGGCTCTGATCTAACCAGCCCCAGGGACTGAGCCCGTCTGCCCGGCAGGCCCCGCAATCTCGGGCCCACCCACCACGGGTGTCCATGCCCGGGGCACCGCATACAGCTGTGCAGCTCAGATGTGCTGGGTCCAGCTCTTCCACACGACCCCCACCTGTCACATCAGGCCTCTTTGCGTACATAGTTTTGAACTTTTATGATGGAAAATCTTACATGTGAAAAAATATTCAAGGTCATCTGGTAAATCATTATGGGCTCACTCCTGAGTTTCAGCAACGATCAAGTCGTGGCCAAGCTTATCTCCCTGGTGTCACTGGGGCACAAACTCTGGAGTCAGAGCGCTGTCGCTCTAAGTGCTCCAGTGTGCACCTCCAGAGTGAGAGCTGCTTGTCTTTAGCATAATCATGAAACCATTGCACACCTGAGCATATTATCAATGATTAGTGACTATCGATTAATATCGGATAATCTGGCCAACGTTTGTATTTCCAGGTGTCTCATAAATGGTTTAAAGTTGTCTTCAGCAGTCTGAATCGGTATACAAATGAGGTGCATAGATTGAGATTTGGTGATGATCTCGCCGATTTCTGTCTGTGTTTCTATTTTTCCCCCTTGTAATTTATTTCTGAATGAAACTGGATTGTCTGTCCTGTGGCATTTTCTGGTTGGGACTTGCCCATGGACCTTCGCCATGTGACCTGGCATTTGGGTAGAAAGTCTTGGTTTTTTTAAGATTTCATGTCTCTCGGTAAGACCACTTCAAAGGTGGTGCCAGCTCTTCCACTGGGCAGGGCTGGTCAGGTTGTCTCTTTTGGCTCATGTAATAGCCACTCATGCTTGATGCAAAATATATTAATGGACGAGGGCTTACAAAAACGGTTAGCTTTGCATTCTGTAATGGCTTCTTCATTTCTTAGCACACTTTTGGAAAAAGCAACTTTACCTCATCTCCCATTTGGGTCTCCAAAGGCACAGAAAAGGCAGAAGAAATGCCCCGTCACTTCCTTTACCCTCCTGCTTTATGACAGCCTCCAGCCGTGAGCTATCAGGTTTTTTGAGAAGTGTTATTAAATTAAAATTAAATAAATATATTTAATATCTTTAAAGATGAATATATAGAGTATATTTGGTACGTTTTAATGCATTCTGGTCTTTCTCTGTGCGCAGACTTTGCCGTCTTCAGCCAGGAAGGCTCTTCAGATTGACCTGAGCCTTTGTCCACCTCCTCCCACCTTCCGTATCGCAGGAGCCTGGACTGAGCCCTTGTCCCAAACCCTTGCACATTTAGCACAGTGTGCACACAGCGAATGTGTAACAAATGGCACCTGCAAGCGTTATGACTGTTTCTAGGAATCTTAGCCCCTTCCTGGCCCAGCGAGGTTCCCTATGTCCCAACATGCCCTGGCCAGCTCTGACATTGGGGTGAGCAGCCCCATTTCTTTTTCTGTCTTGTACCTACATCTTACCACCTCTCTCCTCTCCAGTCCAGCTCCCAGAATGAGGAGGAGGAGGAGGAAAAGGAGGAGGAGGAAGGGGAGGAAGACAAGGAGGAAGAGGAGGGGGGAGGGACACACCTCATTTGTGAGGCTGAGACCAGGGAGTGGCCCCTCTCCTTCTGGACTGCCGGCCCTCTCTCTTAAGGACGAGCTTTGCAGCTACCTCACCCTCCTTGGGGTCAGCAGCCTGGGCAGGATGAGGGTCCGGAGGGGCTGCGGGTTCTTCAGGTGAGCCGAGCCTGGGCACGTGTCATTTTGGCTTCCCTTCCCAGCTCTGTTCCCCGCACGGCCTTAGGGCCACTCACCTGATGTGTCAGTCCTTGTGTGGCTCCTTTTCCTGCTTCTTGAATCGCATCCATCTGCTACAGCTTGGATGTGCCTGCCGCCCAGATGCTCGCGTTCCAGAAGCAGCTCATGAATCTGGGCTGTGGGAGGCGGCTAGGTCAGGAGGGCGCCACCCCAAGAGGAGCCCATGCTTGTCCTGCTGGCTGGACTGGTTCTGGGGAACAGACTGTCCGGGCGCCTGACAACTCCTGAGTCTCTTCTTCTGCATGCAGTCATGTCCTGTTCTGGTCCTCTGCCGTGCAGTGATGACGCCAGGCGGCCCTTGCCGGGACGCTGGAACCGTGCAGCCTGGACCCTCCAGCCACGGAACCGGGAGCCCAATGGACAGCTTTTCTTTGTGCATCACTCAGTGCCAGATACTCTGTTAGAGTGGCCCAGCGTGGCCTCACACCCCAGCCAAGGAAAAAGCAGTGGGACAAGCTGGTGCCTCAGAGATGCCACCCGTCACCTTCGCCTCCCCGCCAGCCACGTCCACCAGGTTCCATCCCTGCTCCTGCCATGCCTGCCCCAGGGGACCAGAGGCTCTTGCTAAAGGACAAGAGGTCGCCTCGAGGGGTGGTCGCAGGGTATCGAGTGGAACAAGCCAGCCATCCAGTGCGTTTTTAAAAAGGCGTGGTGCAGGCAGAAGGGTCCTTCCGTGCCTAAACCCTTTAAGCGCCTGGCCAGAGGTCACCTGCCGTGTCCTGTGCTTCCCAGCAGCTCTGCAGGCTGCAGGTGTGGGTCTCCACCTTGCGCATGCGCACAGGGAGGCTGGGCTTGGCAGGGCCGCCTCTCCGCCTTCGCTGGGTTGCAACGGCCTTTCCCTCTCCCCGGTCCATGTCACGGCCACTCTGTAGAAGTGCAGCCAGCTTTAGTTTAAACCCCATTTTTTTTTTCTTGCAATACTGGGAAGTGGATCCAGGGCCCTCACTGTGAGCTACATTCCCATTCTTTAAAAAAAAAATTTTTTTTTCAATACTGAGACAGGGTCTTGCTAAGTTCCCTAGGCTGGGCTTAATGTTATGATCCTTCTGCCTCAGCCTCCTAGAGTGCTGGGGTGACAGGCGTGTGCCATTATGCCCCCACCTTGGGCCAGGGGCTGTGAAGACAGACTGCTCACTGCCTGTTGCCTGGTGGGTGGCAGCCGCGATGCCACCTGAGCAGCCACTTTCCCAAACTATGCCTGGCATCATCCATCGCTTCCAGGGAGCAGGCCCTCAGCGAGAAGGAGAGTGCACTGGTCTGTGGCAGGTGTGCATACGTGGGCTTGAACATGCTTGTGCGTGTGTGTGCGCATGTGTGTGAGTGTGTTCACCGTGGCAGGTAAGGAAGTGAGATCAGGGCTTTCTGTGATTCTGTTTCCATGGGAACTGGACCCCTCGGGAGACGCTGAAGCTGGGGAAATTTGTCCCAGGTTTGGGCTGGCCTGGCCTTTCTATTCCTCTAGTGGCCAGGATGGAATATTTGTCCCCAAATTCATGTGCTGGAATCCTAGCTGCCAAAAGCAGTGGTGTCAGGGGAGGGCTTTGGGAGGTCGTCATGCCCCGAAGCAGAGCCGTGTGAATGGGGCCGGTGCCCTTATCAGAGGGACCCTAGCGGCTCTCTCCTGTCCTTCTGCTGTGGGAATGAGGGTACCAGGCACCCAGAGCCCGACTGGGCTGCCACACCAGTCCCGTGCTTCTCTCGCCACGGGTCTGTGGCACCCCATGCTGGCAGCCCCTCGTGGTGGAGAGACACCAGTCACTATTGCAGGGACAAGGCCATCTCGGAGGGGACCTCCAGGTGATGGCTCCCTGCTGGCATGAGTTGCTTGTAGCTGAAGGGATATAGAAAACACAGTAGTTTGTAGGTTAAGAAATGGAGGTGTTTTTCTACCCCTTGAGGCTAGGATGGCTTTGCAGTATGGTCTGAGCAGTGGGACAGCAGTGGCCGAGATATGCAGACTGAAAGGTCTTGGGACCTGCTCTTTCCTGCAGGGACCGCCCAGAGCAGGCGAGGAGCCCAGGCTGGCCCTCCGCAGGAGGACGAGGCCTGTAACCGTGTCTGCACTGTCCTGGTCCCGCTGCAGGGGTCCGGATGAACCACCCGCAGAGCCACAGAACCATGGGAAGTAAGAAGCGTGCGTGTTCAGCCACTGAGCGTGAGGAGTCATTTGTCACACGGCAAGCGGTCATCGATGACGAGGCAGAGGCGAGGGTGACATTTGGTCTGACTCTGAACAGAATGCCATGGATTTGGGAATCTGATTTCATTTCATCTCCCTGGTTTCCTAGATTTCTAGTGGAAAGCTAGAAAAATTCATGGTTTCCCTCCACCCCCCTTTTCAGAGTCTTTTACAAAGCACCCTTTCAACCAGGCTTTTCAGCTTGGAAAATGGAATACAAAGAACCTTCACTGTTTGTATTTAGCAAAGAAAAGAAACTCGTTCAGAGCAGCTGTGTTTCCAAACAGAAAACAACCCGCTGCCGGGTGGTTATCTGTGTTCAGAAGAGAGCAGGGTGCTGGGCTCCGCTGAGCTTTCGGAGGAGTTTGCCAGTACCAAGTGCTGCAGGGGATTCGGTGGAAATGGGCTGAAAGAACCCAGAAAAAGCAAAACATAAGAAAACGTTGGCTCAGCGCCTTCTGGCTGCTTACTGGAAAAATATTTGCACAGTACGTAGTTCTTAGCACCAACGAGGGGCTTGATAAATGTTTGCTGAATGAATAACCGAATACAGGCCTGGGAGGAATACAGTATTTGCTACTGTGCTTGGAGGAAATGTCCTTCCCGGCGGCCCAGGCTGCGAGGCTTGGATGAATCAAACTGGCTTGAGAACAGAGGGGCAGCAAGAGCGAAGGTTTCCGTTTCTGGGTGCCAGGGCCTTGACTGTAGGCATCGTCTTTCCCCTTCTGTGCTTCTGTCTTCTCTGTGGAAAGTGGCCATTCTGGAAGCCCAGGTTTGGAGTTCAGCACGGGGCAACAGAAAGGGCCTGGAGAAGAGGCACAGGGATTACATCCTCCCTGCCTCTCACCAGCTGCCTGTGAGACATAGGGTCTTTGCACCTCAGTCTCCAAATCTGCACAGTGGGCCAACACTGCTCCCTTAGCGTTGGGAGAACTAGGGATTACGAACAGAATCTCGTAGTTGAGATGCAAGCGCTGAAACACTGGAAACAGTTGCTTTAGAAAGGACAGCGTGTGGGCGGGGTCCAAATAGGGAGAATGGGGGTGCCCAGTGTCCCCCCAACAGTCTCGCGTTCCATCTCTGCCTCAGACTTCAATATTAATGGGGTACTGGGGAAGCCCTGCCTCTCTGCTGCTTCTCTTAGTGTCCCGGCTCTCTGCTTAGGGTTCCAGCGGCTCCTCTCCCAGGTGCCCGAGGGGACGGAGCGTTTCCCCAGCTGCTGCCTCAGATGGAAGCGGCCCCTTCCGTATGCTTCTCATTCTGAGCTACCGAGCACCGGTGTTGCCCTGCCGTGTGTGTGTGTGTGTGTGTGTGTGTGTGTGTGTGTGTGTGTGTGCGCGCGCGCGCGCGTGCATTGTCCACACTGCAGATGCCTGCGTGGGGCTCTGCATCACGCCGTGGCTTCTTCCCCGTGGCTGTGCCTCCTGACTGTCCTCCCAGCCCTTGGTTCCCACTGGCTGCCCAGCCGTCTCCCCCTTTTCCTGACACCGGATCTCCCTGAGGTGGCTGGAGCTGAGGAGCTCTTGGGTGCCCTGCCCCCCTCCAGCTCCTGCTGTGCTGATTTGCGCTCCTCCTCCCTGCTGTCCCGCCATTCACAGGAAAGGCTGCCTCTCCGCAGGAGGGAAGGACTGTTCCAGTCACGGACGCTCCTTTACCACCTTGAAGCTGCCTTTGTCCCCTGTGGCTGTCCAGGGCCCCAGAGGGTTGGGGGGCAGTGTGGCCACCGTGGTGAGGCAGTCAGGTGTGGGTGATCGGCTCTGGGTGACCCGGATGTGGATTTCTCAGCCTCGGGTCCTTTATCTGTGAGTCGAGCTGTTCTGCCCACCATGCAATCATGGAAGGGTCAAGGACAGAGCAGGGTACACAGGCCCAAGGTGGCATTTGCTCATCCCTAGTTTTGTTTTCTTACCCTCTGCTGGGGTGCTAGGGCCCCCCCGTTCAGCCAGGGTTTTGATAACTGGGCGGCTTGTACCCCGAGGGGGTGTGGGAAGAATGTGGGGTGGTGCAGGGCGCACGCTTGGTGGCGAGAAGCCAGAGTGGCTGATGGGCAGGTGAGGGCCGATCCGCCAGCAGAGGTCAGGACAGACGGCTTGGACAGGCTGTGGGATCTCAGTGAACTGAGGTCATTTCCTCAGAATCCTTGAGATTTCTAGAATGACTTATGCAAATCCAAGTCTGTAGAAGTTACATGAAATGGGTTGAGCTGGACTGTGGCTCAGGTGGACAGTGGTGGTCACTGCTGAAATCGTAGCTGCCCAGGAGTGGCGCCTAAATATGCCCTGCTCTCCCTGTCTGCCGCTGCCTCCTCGGGTTGCCAGAGGCAAGGGGACTGGGGGGTTGAAGTCAGGGAATGGCACCTCTTGGCACAGAAAGACTGAGAAAGATGGAGGACGGGCCTGGGGGAGGGGTCATTTCCTTTGTCACTTTGTGCAAAGCTCTGAGCCTCGGTTTCTTACAAAGTGGGCATCACACTCTGCTGCTGGTCTGCTGCCCAGGGCTGCCAGGAAGACACAGGGGCAGCGCTGCGGTCATTTGCTTGTGATGGCGACCTTGCTTCTCCTCCTGTGCTGTCTCCCCTAATTCCCGAGCAGGGCCCAGGGTGGGGGAGCCCAGGGGGCGAGACCAGGTGCGCTGAGGGCCAGAAGAGTGGGTGTCCGCGGTGGCCCGGCCACACTTTCTAACCGTGGGCTCCCCGGCAGCCTCCCCAAACTTAGCTGCTGTCTCGCTTTGGGTTTCCCTGAAAGCAAACCCTGAGACAGGCATTTGAGTGATGTGGTTAATCGGGGGCCAGTCCTGGGGTGCATGAAGAGGGGTGAGGCAGTCAGGGAGGAGGGAGAGATGAGGGCGGGGCATTGATGGTGGACAGCCGGGTCTCGGTTCTGCGGAGGCCTCTGAGGGACTGCGGGACGCATCTCTGGACTGTTCCGTGCAGTCAGAGGGTGCCACTGGACAGGGACACTCAGGAAGTCATGCAGATCCCCTCCAAGGTGGGCTGGGGAGATAGCAGTCACCAATGCATCTGCTCTGGCTTCCCAGGTTGTGTGATGAGGACCACACCATGGCACAGGGCGGCCACGAAGCCTGCACGCTGGTGGACAGAAGACCTGCACGCACACCTGATGCTGGCCATAGGAGCCGGTCAGCAGGAGCACGCAGAAGGAAGTGTTACTCATCCATTAGGGACAGGAGCAAACGGGACTTGGAGTACAGAGACATTGCTGGATCAAAGGGACGGTTCCTAGGGGCCACGTAAGCCTGAATCAGAGCCTGCCCTTCCCGGGGGTCTCCTTCCATGCAGGGACATGCACTCAGGGAGCTTTGTCCTCCTGAAGGCTGCGAAGCCCTGTAAACAGCAGTGTTTGAGTGCCAGACTGAGCTCAGATGCCGCTGGAGCTGAGTCTCAGGCAGGTCCTCCCGAAGCTCTGATCCTCCTCGGCTCCAATGTGTATTTTCTCAGTCTCCCAGGGCCTCCCGGTGGGTGCCGCGGCAGGCCTTCATTAGAGATGCCTACGTGTCTGCCTATTTCAGGGGCGGCAGAACGGCTCCAGACAAAATAAAATACGCCGTAAAACTCCAGACGCCTGGTGCGTCAGGTTGTGTTTCCTTAAAAACAAACAAACACAAATATTTTACAATGCCCTCTTTGCTATCCTGCTGATATGCACATACACTAATAAAATGCATAATTCAAAACCTAGTGATGGTAAATACATGGCAAAATTTCACCAACTTAAGCAGTGTGAAGTGGATTTTTTTGGTTTTGTTTTACTGCATGTGTGCGTGTGTGTGTGCGTGTGCATGTGTGTGTGCTTGTGTGTGTACATGTGTTTTGGGGACTGAACCCAGTACTCCATGCGTGCCAGGCACACCCTCTGCCATGGAGCTGCACCAAGATGACTTACACCAGGTGGAAGCATGCAGTTCTGTGTTATTTAGCAAATTCACCCTGTTCCCAGCCACTGCTGCTACCTATCTTAATTTTGTGACCAAAAAACACCCCTGCCACTTCCCAGCTGGCCTCTGAGAAGTGAGGTGCAGCCCCAGACTTAGGCTCAAAGGACGCCCGCCCAGTGTGGTAGATCAGTGATTTCAGTTGCTTGATGGTAAAGATGAAAAGAAAAGTCCAGGGACACTTAGAGATACCCAAGGTATTCAAGATGGCGGTCACAGAAGCACACAGGGCACTTGCCCCACTCATTTCCTTTATCCCCAGGAGCTCAGCTGTTCTCAAACCGGTTTTCTGGGCTCAGCTCATGGATGAGGCCTGCGGGTGTGGACCTGGTGGCCTTGGTCAAAGATAGGTAGCAAAGGCAGGACCAAAGGCCAGGCGTTTCGAGCAAGCCTCCGAGGTTGCAGTGGTGAGATGCCGGAAGAGAGCAGGGAAGGCGGCTCGGTATTTCCAAAATCGGGGGCTGGAGGAGGAACGGGGAGCGGAAGTGCAGCCTGTGTCCCCTTAGCAGCTGGCGCCCCAGTCATACAGGCGGAGAGCAGACTGCCCGGGTGCTGTGTGTGATAGATGGCACCAGAGAGTGTTCTAGGAGAGGGTGAAACAGAGCGAGGTGCTTTGAAGGAGAGCTTTGGGCTTTAGGTTTCTGATCTGTCATTCACGAGAGGTCTGGGGAAAATCTCGTGCACGTGAATTTCCTCATCTTTAAAATGGGCCACCCCAGCCCCACCTACCCACAGGAATGCGTGTGTGACTACAGCGTCGGGACCTCCTCCTCCTCTCACCAAAGCCTGGCACACTGCTGCTAACCCCACCTGTCACTCTGGGCCCTCCGGATAAGCACAGCCAACAGGGAAGACGGGTGCCCGAGCTAGAGACTGATTTTAAGGAGTTTATTTATGTGGGGAAAGGCAAAGCCACAATCTGTGGGGCAGCCTAGCATGCGGGTGTTGGGGTACAGGAGACGGCACCCCAGAGTGCAGTGATTTGACACACTAGGCTGAAGTAACTGCTGCACTACTCAGGTCTCTGTGGCCTTTCCTCCTGTCTCTCCGTCCTCTTCTGTCTGCTTTTTCTCCTGAAGCATAGCAAGGCCCTGGGTGAAGTTTTCTTATCTAACTAAAGACTGGATTTCCCAGAGAGAACATGATTGCCTTCAAAGCTCCTTATGACAGTGCATTCACCAAGGGACAAGAAACCCATTTCACAGGAGAGAATGAAATCCACGCTATGAGGCAGGAGATTAGGGCACGGGCAGCTGACTGCACAATGCGGCGTGGCCTGTCAGGCACAGACGGCTGTCAGGTCACGGCTGCTCTGAAGCTCTGTGTGGTGGGAGCTGGCCCTGACATGGCCTCTGGCTTGGTCACCATCAATTTCTTGTTCTTGCCGCAGTCTCTTCTGTGTGCAGTGTGAATATTCTCTTTTCTGTGGAATCCTTTTTCTTTTTGAGCATTTCTTTTTCTTCTTTTATATTTCTTTATTCTATCTTTAGATATCTATCTTTAGATAAACTTTGACATTCATCAGCTGTCCTGTCCAATCCTTTGAACAGGACAGGAAGGACTGCTGACCACCACATCACCCAACAGCACCTGGAGCCCAGCGGGTCCTTGTCCCAGAGCTCCGTTCTCTGGGCTCTCTAAAAGTGTCCCTGGTCCCCACTTCTCTGTCCGCTGTGGAGGAGACGTTCTTTGACCTGAACCACCTGGCCCTCCTTTGGGTTTCACACTTTGTGGCTCGGGTTCCCGGGTGCATGTGAGTGAGCTCAGCACACCCTTCGCTCCTGGCACTCTGCCTGTCCTCAGTGTGTTCCTGTGAATTTGCTTATCAAACCTTCAGGGGCAAAGTGTGGTCTTCCCTGGACTGGACACTCAGGCGGGACTTCTGAGTTTGAGTCTTGAGACAGATGTCCTCTAAGGGAACACTTACCTTTGCTTTTAAGCTCTTTGATGGATTGGATGAGGTTATTGCTCCTTCACTTAAAGTCGACTGGCCACAGACATTAATCACATCTACTAAACACCTTCATGGAGATGCTGACTAGTGTTTGGTCAGATATCTGGGCACCATCGTTAGGCCAACCCTTACCTCTGGATACATGGAAAGGCAGACATGGGAGGAGTCCATCCATAGCCAGAAGCCGAGGACTTGGGGACTCCTTCCCTTGCTACAAAGCCAAGGACTCACCTGGCTCGCTGGGCCTCATCTCCTCCCTTGGTGACCTGGCTACGCGTCCCGTGCTCACCCAAGAGTGCGCTCAGCATCTCCCAGCTGGGTGGGTTCCAGTGTCGTCTATAGTGCCATGGGCCCAGGTACATGCATTCTTTGTTTCTGTGTTTTGTTGCTATAACCAAATACCAAATTATTCGGCTCATAGTTTGGGAGACTGAAGAGCAGGGTACCAGCTTCTGCTCGGCCCCATGAAGACCCCTTGACGGGTCGCAGCACAGCAGGGAAGCAGGCAGGGAAACAGCCAACATGCGGAAGAGACAAGGAGCAGGAGGGGCTTGCCTGCCCACCCTAGTGAGAGCTGACCACGGCCCCAGGAGGCCCACGTCAGCCCCTTCTGTGGGAGGTGTCCTCAGTGCCCTGACCACTTTCTGTTGGTCTTGTCTCTCACAGGTTCTAGCAGCTCTGTACATCCCTGTCCTGTGCAGACAGACTGCAGAGAGGCGACCTTCCTTGCTCCCAGCTCACTGCGTTTCTCTGATGGTCACTGCCGGTCTCTGCCCCTCTAGAGGGAAAGCCCTGGGCTGTGCCCGCCTTTCCCCAGGGAGTAGATCCCCCTGGACCTGCAGCTGAGCTTGCGGAAGGGATAACATCTCATCCTCCCTGCCCTCAGAGGGTAGTGGACTTCACCCTGTCCCACCCTGACCCCTGCCCTGGACACTGCCCACCTGGGAACATGGGCAGCCGCTAAGCAGAGGTTCTGCAGTGTTGAGGACACGAGCTCCTGTGGTTTGTACCCAAACAGGCTGTCTCTGTTTGACCTCTTGTCACTTTTCTAGAACTAAATGTAGCCCCACACTGGCCGGCTTTCAGAGAATCCCCTGGTTCCACTTAGCGTTTCCTGCTGGCCTGGCGGTGCTAGGCGTAGCTAGGTTAACTTGGGCCTCACACCTGCCCTGTGCGAGGACCCTGACGTGCGCCTTACTGGGCATTTGACCTGGGCCACGCTTCCTACTCTGTCCCCCTTAGGAACCCGGGACACGGGGGTGCTGTCGCCTCATGGCAGGGAGGTGGCCGGGTGGGAGAACATGAAATTTGGCTGACAAGCAGGGTGCAAATGGAATGAACTGCTTGATTGTAAAGCTGTCGCCGACCTCTCTCTGTCCCCCGCCTGGGTCATGGTCCCCCTGCCCCCTTCTCACAGTAGCCCTGTCTCCGGGCAAGTGCTCCCAGGCCTGGGCAGTCACAGTGCCGCCCTGTCCCTCCCTCCCCATGCCCCGCCGCACTGCTCAGCCATGTCCTCCGTGGGTGTCTGTCCCCAGGGTGTCCGTAAGGCCCTCCACAGCTGCCTGTGCCTAGAGCACGGGGCTCCTCGGCCTCCTCTGTGCCTCTCTCCTGACTCCTGTCTGCAGCGACAGGGCCCTTGCATCCCATGCCCCGGTGTGGCCGCGCAGCCCCAGCAGTACCGACCTCCACCTGGTGCGTGTGCCTTAAGGCCTCCTTCCCTGAACTCAGTCTCTTTTATTCCAGGAGAGTTTGTGCCCAGCTGCCGTGCACTTCCTGCCAGCTATGAGCAGACTCTAATTTGTGTCGGCCTTCACTGTCAGGGCCATGCCACCAGATACCAGAGTGCCTGCCGTGCCGACGACGCCAGGGCTGAGAAGTGGAAGCCTTTGTCAGGAGCTGCACCTGGGTCTGCCTCGCTGCAGAGCTTCCTCTGTTCGAGTGAGGTCCACGTGGTGGGGGGTGGGGCTCCACTGTCTCCGCTCCCAGAGTGGGGACCGTGTGTCTTACTCGGCTTGGTACAGCTGTAACACAAAAGCACAGACCATGTCACCGAGAAAGACGACTGGCTCACGATTCCACAGGCTGGGAAGCGGAGGAAGGTGGCAGGTGCTCAGGCTCCAGGAGAACGCGGAGGGGAGGAAAGGAGGCTGGGGCAGGCGGGGCAGGGGCTCTGGTTTAGCTTTCCTGCGGTGCTGGGGGTTAAAGCCAGGACCTTGTACACACCTCACACACGCTCTACCAAGCGGTGCACCCCGCCGGACTCAGGCTTTGAGCAGACACAGGACCCCTGTCCACTTCTAAGCAGCAGCACTGGTCCATGCATGGGGGCCGGATCCCCCTACAGTGGCAATTCCTTTTCGAGGTGGGTGTGGGAGGGGCGTCCCGCCAGGGCGCCAGAGTCCGGCTGGGTGATGCGACTTGGCCAAGGTGGCCGGTGCAGGGCTGTGGTCCAGGCAGAAGGAGGCTGTGATCCCGCCCTGAGACAGCCTCTCCTGGCCCTCTGTCACCTCCTCCTGGGCTCAGCCTGACTGTGTCGGCCCCCGGGAGCGGGCAGCCTAGGTGCAAACACTGCTGTGATTTGAGGTCAGTCACCTGCACCCTGCAGCCGAGTCCCTGCAGGGAGCCCAAGCCGCACACCCGTGTGAGCACCGTAAGAAGCCAGTGCTGGGTACCAGCGAGGGCTGCGTGGCCACAGCCAGGTCCGTGTGCTTCTCTTTCCTTGCTCTCAGTTGGCAGACAGATTAAATGACAGCGTGGACGGCGGGCATCCGGCAGGGTACAGCTGCTCAGACACGGCTAGTTCCATCCCTGGGGAGGCAGTGAGATGGGGACAGCCTGGGCTCAAGGCCCGAGCCTGCTGCTCCTGAGCCTGTGACTCCACAACTCTGAGACACAGGCGTGTCTGAAAATTTAGACAGTGGTAGTTCTCAGCCTCAGGAGGTTGTGCGGGTGAGAGGAGAGATGCCTGGAGGGGTCTGTGGGGCTGTTAGCGGCATGCCCGCGGGGAATGGCCTGGGCTCCAGCAGTTTCTCCCGGAGAGCCGTGCACGACTGCGGCCTGCGGGGGGCAGCGTCCCCACATGAATCCGACTGGACTCCGAGCTGTGCAGCCCGACTGCCAAATTCAGGGCGGCAGGAAACAAGATACGCAGCGCGTGCTACCGCGGCCAGATGGCAGAAAGTACCAGAGACGCAGATGGCCAGGAGGTCGGGGGCAGTGGTTAAAAGCAGCACTGATGGGTGGGCGGCTGCAGTAAACGAGTCCGGAGAAGAACACCAGGAATTAAAAACACGAGCCCGCGCTCAGTGTGAAGACAGAACACAGCGCCCCGGCTCTCTTTGGGCATGGGGGGGGGGGGGTTCCTGGAGTCCAGTGACCTGGGCTCTTGGTTGTTTGTGCTGTTTGTGCCAGAGCTCAGCACAGCCCTGGAAAACACCTGGAAAACATTCAACACAAAGGTCAGCGATCAGAGTGGAGTACCTTCGGGCTTCTGGGAATCTGGTCCCTGACGCCAGCCCATTCCCTAACTGTGTAGCAGGTTCTTCAGGGCACAGGGCCATCTCTCCGTGGGATCTAGTCAAGCTTTGGAGCCGACCGAGCCAAGACCAGCCAGGGTCACCTTCGTTCTCTGGTGTCCACCTGCCCCAGAGTCCCTTCTGATTTGCCCCAGGCACCCTGTGGGCCGTCTTCCTAGTTTCTCTGGCATCATGGATAAAGGAGGGCATCGTCCTCCATCCTTGATGTGCCCACTGTAGTTGGCCCGCTCTGGAGACTAACAGTGATGTCCACTATCTGGTGCCTCAGGTGACATTTGGAACCGTCACTAGCCATCCCCAAACACCCCAAACCCCTCCTGCTGTTTGCCGTGGAGAGCCTTCATGTACGAATACACGGGTTCATGTGGTTTTTGACCTCAGTGCCCGAATCCCTGCCTGATTCTGTGCTTTGCCCTTCTTGTTTAACCCTTGAGGTTCCCGGGTTACACAGGAAGCCGACCTGGTTACTACGGCGGCTCACCGGCGTCCCATTGACGGTAGGAGAGGGCCAGAACCGAGTTTTGTTATCAGCGTCTCCGCTGGAAGCTCAGGGCTGTGGGCCTTCTGTGTGTACCTTGTTGTCCACTCCCGTGAGACTCTCCCAGAGTGGACACTTAGAAACGGAACTGCCAAGGTATGGGGGTGACCAGGCAGAACTGTCTGCCCTACTTACACGCTCCTCTTTTAAGTTCAGTCCTCAGGTAACGGGTCGGGTTCTGCACCATGAGCTGCCTGCCCCAAGAAGCGCGTAGCCCCGAGGTGTGAGCGGTGTCACATCCAGTCTTCTCTTCTCCCTCTCCTTCTGTGGCTTCTGTGACCTCGGGCAAGTCCCCTCACCTCCGAGACCTGGCGCTCTTCGTTGTGTGGTGGGGCTAGCAACGGCCCGGACGCCCAGGCGGTCGTGAGTAAATGATTAATATCTGTAAAACACCCGGAGCAGGTGCCTGGAAGGCAGCGAGCACAACGCACTGCTTTACGTCGCTGTTACCCCAGCTGCTCTGACTTGGGGCCTGTGGGGTGGGGGGGGCAGAAGTCACAAGGTGCAGCTGGCTTATGGAGCCGAGGGATAAACTTCACTGGTAGATTTATTTACTTATTTATGTAAAAGAGAAAAAATCAGAAAAATCAAGAAGCAAACAAAGCAACAACTGAAACAAACTGACAGCAGCAGGAACAAAACAACAAAACAACAAAACAACAGAACAACAGAACAACAGAACAACAGGACAACAGTAGCTCTAGAGGTGTGCAACACTAGATGACAGGAATAAAACCCAGTAAAACAGAACAGAACATTGGGTGTCAAATATAAGACAGAAGGAAATTCCCCACAGTTGCTATGATGCCTATGTTATCCTCCAAATAGATGTGCAGACTCCCAGCTCCAGGCCTGCGAAGTCAATCAAATAATACAAGCATTAAGTTTTATTTTCCTTCAGTTGCTGTCATCTCAGCCTGACTTCCTCCGATCAGTCTTGCCATCTGGGTGGGGTGGGGGCGAGGTGGGGTTGAGGTAGGGTGGGGGTGGTGTTTCTCTTCTCGTCTCCCAGCCCGTGTACCCGCTGGCTCACGGGGAGGCATGGTTAGCTTCTGGACTCTCTTCCCGTACCCCATGGTGGCTGCTCCTGGCTCATGAGGAGGTGTGGTTTCACTAGTAGATTTTGTTGAAATAAATTAAGTAATTTAACTGATAAACATCTAAAATATTTTCATATGGAAATAAATAGAAGTACTATGGAAAATTCAAAATTAGCGTGAAATTGAGAACACAAATAGAACTTCAAGAATTGAATACTTGGGGCTGGGGATTTAGCTCAGCCGCATAAGGGCTTGCCTTGTAAGCAGGCAGTCGTGAGTTCAATCCCAAGTACCGATAAAAAGGGAAAAGACAAAAAGAAAAAAAAAAAAAGAATTGAATACTTGCTGAGGGCAGCCAGGGAGCAGACCCTGTATTCCTTCCCTGCCGCTCCTTACAAGTGGATTATTCAGCGGGAAAGGCTGATGAACAGAGTAACTCATGTGGTTTGCCTTCTGAAAACTGAAGGCTATTGTGGGTCTAAGTTTGCTTTCTGGTTTTCTGGAAGAAATGATTGTTCTCAGCAATGAAACCCAGATTATTTTTATAGGTCTCAGTACTGATGCTTTAGTAAAGCAGTGAACAGATGTAAGGCTTGAAACCATTGCTCTTTAGTGCTGCATAAGTAGCTGGGGCTTAAACTACTCAGGTAGAGGCCTCCTGGGTCTCCTGCCTTGCTGAGCCACTGGAGAGACTGGATCATCTGGAAAAAAATTTCACAGATATACAGAATTTACAGGAATCAATGAACTTTATAACTCACTTATTCTTCAATCTCTACCCTCCTTTCACTCCATCTGTCTGCCTTGTCCTTATTTTAATATTTGTCACATTGTGATACTATAAATTAGTCTTCCTTATCAGCTATATGGGTGAAATAAAGAGGTGGCTTCAAATCTTGACTTAGTTACTTAATAAATACGTGAATTCAGGGAAGTTAGTTAATGTCTTAAAGGCTTGCTGGCTTGAGCTGCAAAATGAGTATTGTTTTTCTTTCAGGTAGGAATCCTTTTGTTAAAAGTCAGTACGTAACACTCATCCTACAGGAATTTACTGGTTGTGGGTGTCATTTTAGGCATTTTTTGTTCAGGATTCAAAAGTAATCCTAGGACTCAATTTCTTTTTTTCCTCCTTGAGTCTTCTGATTTGACTGCACTATCAGACTTCAAGGCGGTGGTGACCCATCATATCTGAAACCCTCAAGGAAAGCCAGCTTGCCTCTGTCCCAGAATTCCCAGCAAAAGTCTCTCTGAGGTGATTGGCTACTTCACCTGTCTCTGAACCAATCACAAAGGCTAGGAATGGGAGCTGCTGATTGGCTTAGGGTAGGTCACATGACCCACTCATGGGTTGGAGGCTTGATTGGGGGAAGATTTTTTTTTTGTATGGGGGGATTTTGATCAAGTCAAAATTGTCAGATTTTCTAGAAAAAGAGAGAATAGATGTTGGAAGGCAAATGGCAAATGTTTCTTTTCCACTTAACTGGATTGCAGCGGTGATAATGAGGTAAAGTAAAAATCACAAGAGGCACAGCACTTAGCAGAAGCGGAGCATGCGCGATTGCCGTCCATTCTGCAGCTTTAGCTGCTGCCGCTGCCGCTTCCTAATCTCTGAGACTCTGTCTGCTTGGCACCTGCTGCCCAATCGATATTTTACCTGCAGCCTCAACCTCTCCGCACAGACTTGGTCCACTGTGTTCCCCTGGAACATGATGATCCGGTCCCCTCGGGGGTCTCCCCGTGGGCACCCCTAAACTCCAGCTCCCCTTCCGAAGTCAGATCCCCAGTCCGCGCACTCGTTCCACTCCTGGGCCCACGATCCGCGAGGCACTAGCGTGGCTTTGACGCCTACTGGCTTTCTCCCTTGCTTGGCCCCTGGGCCGCCACGGTGACCTCACCTGCTGTGCTCAGCCTCAGACTCCTGTGCATCTGTCTCCAGGAGGAGACTCTGGAGCCCAGTGCCAGGCATCAGACTCAGTTCCAAGTCTCCTAAGCTGCATGGACCTGAGCAATTAGCCTCGGTCTCCCCATCCATAAACATCGCCGCGCTATTTTCGTTGTGTACTTTTGATGAAACCACGTCCCCTTGGCTCAGCCTCCACCCTCGGGTGGTGGGGTCTCCAGTCGGACCTGCTGGGCTGTCTGCCTTGTACATCTCTCCTGCCTCATTTGACTCTGATTTAGATTGACCTCTCGCTCCCCCATTTTTCCCCCAGCAGCAGATAGTCTTGATTTAGAGAGTGAGGCTCACTTGTAGAAGGCTATTTCACACCTGTAGGGTATCAGGCTGCCTGACATTCACTCCTGGAGTGCTTCTAGCCAGCCCTCCAGGCTCTGGGACGTGTAATTATATCCACCTCTTCTCCGCTCTGCCTGCTGCGGCCCCACTCTTAAGTGCTGTCTGTTTCCTCCTCAGCTTCCAGCGATCCCTCCTGGGGCTGTCACCCAGCAGGCAGATGTCTCTGCACTGAGGGGATGAGTCAGATGAGATCACCAGCTGGCGGACAGAGCCCCTGGGTACTTGGGGCTGAGCGACCCGTGTGCTGCCTCAACGGCTGGGAACAGAGCAACAAGGAACGTTCCCAACGGGCAACTCTGTCCTCCAGGACAGTCACCACCCACAGCCAATGCGAGGATTTAAATGAAAATGCATTACAATGAAAATTTCAGCTCCTAAACTGTGCCAATCACACATCAAGTGCTCAATGAATGGCCAGTTGGGGCTCCTGGCTTCCATCTCCGACAGCACAGGAAGAGGGTGGTTTCATCATCCCAGAAAGTGACAGAGAATAGCACTGCCCTGAAGCTGAGGAGCAGGAGCAGGGACACGGGGATGCACCAGGGACACTGAGGGAGAAGCGAGGGTCTGGTCCTCTCGGCCCACATGGCACCATCCAAACCCCATGGTGCATCCCTCATGCTAGCAGAGGGTTTGTCTCAGCTTTCTGGGCAAGCAGGACCTTGAAAATGAAGGTAAATGAAGCCCCCGTGAGAATAGATTATTTCATGCAACTTCCTTGGGAGACAAGTCCTTGAGGTGGGTCAGTGTGGCAGTGGCTCTGGTCACGGGCTGGGTGGTGTCACATGGTCTTTCCTTAAGTTCCAGTCTTGCCCCGAGTCAGTAATTTACTCCCCTACTGAAATCCTTAGTTTAGTTTTGCTATCAAACATGGGATGCAGCATCCATTGACGGTAAAAGTGACCACTCAATGCCATTGTTTTGTGACACTGGATTTATCAACGTTAGAATCTGGATTCACCTAATTATTTGCTTGGCTCAAAGTATTGTCTCTTGTGTGGGTGACATGTTAAATCTATACACGCAGATATTCAAGACCACTCAGTTAAGCCACTATTTCTTTTGAAAATATTTAGTTTCCAAATACTCAAGCAAAAATTGAGGTTAGTTATCTGCATAGTCTTAAAAATTGGCTCATGGAAACTCCGTCAGGCCCTGCCAGATCTGTAGTCTGTCTGCTTGGTGACATTGGCAGAATGTTGGCAGAGAGACAGTTCCATTCTGTGTGCATGCCTCAGGGTTAAAGTCAGAGACAGTGTGCACAAGGTCACTACACTAACAGCCCTGTCAAAAATACCTCTGGGTGTCTATTATGGATGTCAACCATCTCTACCCAGTACCACTGGGCCAGCACGTCAGTGTAATTCTGATGGTTTCTAACACAGGCTACTTCCAGAAAACCCACTGGAGAGGGCCTTACTGAATCACGCAGCCTGGTGGACATTGTTAGAGCACCGACCTTCTTGAAAGTTGAGGTTTCTTAAATTGGGCTCTTCTGTTAGGTTGTTCAGGAAGACAGCTAAGGAGAGAGGTTACGAGCCACGCCTTGTTCTAAGCAGGGTGTGCATGTGCACACGTGTGTAGAGTGGCACACACAGGAATTCTGGCATTGACATAGAGGGTAAGTTGCAGTGGCTGATGAGGAAGATGTGGAGTCCGTATTTGGGGAGAGGAAGCCTAATTAGGAGCTGTGGGGGTGATCCAAAGAGGAGAGGGGACAGTGAAGGCCTATTCAGAACCCAGCAGGATGCCCAGAGGGTCAGACGTGCCCTGCGCTTGCTTATCTTTACCCATTACGTCCGTGTGAGCCACACTGGCCACCAGAAGGTGGTGAGGCGACCTAGGGTCTCAGCATTTTCTAAGGATTTTCTAAGTGGTCTCTCTGTTTCTTTAGGGATCGTCTTCTTCAGAGGCTCTTGGAAAGGAAATGGGCACGAATGGGCGACAAGCTGTGTCTCTTCTCCGCCCTGAGTAACGACCCTGTTAAGCTTGTCCTAACGGAGAGCGACAGGACACAGAGCCCTTGCCGGGACGCTGCTCTGCTGGTGCTAAAGACAGCGGAGCTGGAGGTGGCAGTCAGCACTTTCCCCGGGTGTCCGGATTCTGTGTGGGTTCAGGATAACTCA